GGCCATATCAGGTGGACATGGAGTTGGCAACAGTGAGCTGAAATCTTGTCTTGAAGAAGGACACCAACAGACATAAACAGAGCTGAAGTAGACATTATCCTCCAAAGATACCTTTTGTTTTGCTAAAATTCTACTGGTTTTTTCTGTGACCTTCGGCTGTGCTCTCACTATGTAGTTGCAAAGATGTTCACAACATGTTTAATACAGGTTCAGACCTGTTCCAGAGAGTCAACAACAGGGATTTGACAAAGGTGAAGATATTTTTGGACATTCTAGATGTTCTGAAACATTCCCCAAGGAGACTCTCCCAACAACTGTGACACTTCAAGGCCCAAACTAGTTTCATTCTCTTCACAAATTTAGCTCTTTCTCCAATCCAGCCAAAGCAGTATGCTGATTCGTTTCAATCCATTGCATCTCCTCTTAAGAACAGAGGTTTGCAGATTGAAAGATCTGAATTAAAGCCAGCCCTGCCAGGGTCACTATGAGTCAGAATCGACAGCAACTGGTTTGGTTTTTGGTTTTCACCACTGTGGGAGCCCTGGTGGAGAAGTGTTTAAGCATTTGGCTGCTAACCAAAAGGTTGGCAGTTCAAATCCACTAGCTGCTCCCTGGAGACCCTATGAGGCAGTTCTATTCTGTCCTATAGGGTCTCTATGAGTTGGAATTGACTCAGTGGCAATGGGTTTCTTTGGTCTGCCACTGTGACAATGAAAGCTGTAGGCATGTTATCATTCTACCCTCAATTTCCTTCTCTGGAAACAGAGAATAATAATATACACATTAAGGTATTTGCTATTTTCCTTTCTCTCTCTCTTTTTTCTTTTTTTTGTCCAGTGCCACCCATAGGGAAAGAAAAGGAGATATAACTCAGATCAGGATATTTTCCCACTCAACAGCCTTTACAAATAGTTTGGTTAAAAAAGTCAATGGGTTGGACTTTAATTATTGTTCTTTATTCTTGTGAGTAGTTAAAATCTGACTATATGTAAATTCTATTTTCCTAAGACCATTTAGGAAATAAGTAAATCTATAAATACATAAATAAACTAAAAAACAAGCCATAAATACACCAACTTCAACGGCGTTGGCTCTGTGAAAATCACTTGACCAGAGTCACTGGAATGGGCAAGACACACTGTTTCTTTCTTGGTGCTTTCCATTTGGATCAGTTGACTCTTAATGATTTGAAGAAATGGTTCCTTCCAAACGGGCAGAAAATTGTAAAGAAGCAAATCAAATTGTACTCAAACTCTTAGATTGTGGAATTTAACGTCTCTTCTTGTGTTCACTAAGCTACACTGGTTGGATAAAAATCTCTTGCTACATTAAATTTGGTTTGATTAGTAAATAAGTACGTTTATGCAGGCAAAGCACGGTATGTGTGGGTTACGAGAATGTCTTGGTTATTTAAAAAGTTCTTTTTTACAGATGATTCAGTTTTACCACAGCTTCGTTAGTGTTAATGTGTGACTTCACCCTTTGTTGGGAAATCACTCAACTTATAGACAGTTTGTCCTTTCTGAAGAAAAGTAATACAGCTTCAAAGCTGGAACATTTGAACATCTTCAAATCCTTCCTGCTCCGTCTACATGTGACCCTCTCTTGCCATTTACCAACATCATTTCCTTTGTAAAAACATTTCCCCATTTCCCTTGCTCTTCCCAGCCCCAGTGTTCTTACCTGGCTCTAAAAAAGTAGAGTTGACGGCCTCAGCCTATGTCCTTAGCTGCATTTCAACTGAAATAATTACCTTCCATTTTCCTGCCTGACTTGGAAAACGCACAAATGGAAAAATTTAGATAGGGTTGTATCAAAGTATTTCAGGGAAAAGATAGTGCTTTTTAGACAGTCAAAATGCCTTATTATAAGAATTTAGTTACAAGGTCAATTGTTTGATAATACCTGCCACATGCTGAACGCAAAAAGACTGAATCCATGGTTAGCCTATTTTGCAGGTGTCACTTGAGGCCTGTCTTCTAACCTGCGTCACCAAAATTCCACTGAGTTAAGATATATGAAAAGAAATCTTGCATTTTATAGGTCATTGAAAAACCATTCAGATGAGTATGAGCAAAACACTAAAATATTATGAAGAATTTCCCCAGCATTATTAATATCAGTTGTTGTCGAGTCAATTCCAATTCATGGTGACCCCATGTGTGTCAAAGTAGAACTGTGCTCCATAGGGCTTTCCATGGCTGATTTTTTCAGAAGTACATCACCAGGCCTTTCGTCTGAGGTGCCTCTGGGTGGATTCGAACTGCCAACCTTTTGGTTAGTAGCTGAGCATGTTAATAATTTGTACCTCCCAGGGACTTTGCATTATTAATACCAAAACCAAACCAAACCCATTGCCATCGAGTAGACTCCAACTCACCATGACTCTATAGGACAGCATAGAACTACTCCCACATTATTACCAATACACGTTAAGATAATGTATGACAAAAATGAGGTTTACATCTGTAAAATAGAGATTATAGAACAATATAAAATCCCAAATTAAAGAACAATATCTTCCAGTTTCTCTCGGCAAGGGTCAATACAGCACTGAATGGAGAGCCTACAATGGCCAATTATAAGCTCAGCACCTCCAGAATGTCCCAGGCTTGTTTGGATCTTCCGTCTTTCTCACAGTGGTCCTGATTGGGTCAAAGCCCTGGAATGGGGCCCAGAAGAGACCCTTCTTTGGTGGGGTAGGAGTTGAAGCTAAGACTAACTATTAGGCTGAGTCCAGATCAGAGTGACCCTGCAGACAATACGTGCAATACCAACCTGGACCCGTGTCTGCACACTCATGAGCTATAAGCCAGGTGTGCATAAAGGAGTAGCGTTCCAAGTCATATGAATGATTAATGAAATAAATAACGTACACCCAAATGTATGTATAATACATGTAATATTTGCCATACCTTTTTCATTTGTGGAACCCTTTATATACATGAAATCTGATCTAGAAGCCTAATATCTAAACAGATAAAAGTCAAGCTGCCTCTTGGATAGATGACTGAAATGCTGCCAACCTCCCAGCACCCTTCCCAGCGGAGGCTTTTAAAGGGCTTCTCAGATCCTCCAAAGCTTACAGCACCCTATCTGGAAAATGGCTTGTCTCTGTGGCTCCTTATACTATATCTGCTGCACAGCAGAAGGGCAATAATTCTTGGCTCCCATGATCCAATGGAATCAAGTATTGTACCTGGGATCTCCACCCCCAGTACTTCCATATATCACACCTAAGCCATGTTACAGGCTGGAAAGCCTGAACAGATACTTGCTTACTTGCTCCATTTTCAGATATTCTCTGGTTTTGGTGATTATCAAACAAAGAAGAACAGTAAGATCTCCTATTTTCTGAAAATTGTGCATAATGACCTTAGACCCGACTCAGTAAAGAGCCCACTCAGCTTCAAGAAAGTTGATCAAACTCACAAATCTGGCCACAGCAGTTTTATCTACTAAATGCCTAATTTATTGTTTTGTTTTATTTTCCCTCTTGGTTTTCATTTTTTAAGTGAGGTATAATTTACATAAAGTAAAACGCATAGATGAGTTTTGACAAATGCATACACTCATGTAACCTATACTTTTATAAAGATATGGAACATTCTAGAAAATTTCCTCATGCCCCTTCCCAGTCAATCTCCTCTCCTCCCCAAGGTAACCACTGTTTTAATTTTTATCACTATACACTAGAAATCACCTTTTCCAGAAATATAAATGGGTTCATAGCATGTGCTTTTTTGTGTTTAATGCCTTATTATTTGGACATCCATAAAAATATTCTCCAAGTTTCCTTATCTGTGAATTGAGGAGAATGCACAGCAAGAATGGTGTGCAAGTATCCTGAGGAGCCCTAGTTTTCCTGGGGGTGGGGCTCCTTGATCGGGGATGGGGTGAAGAAAAGGCTGAGGAGTGAGGTTTGTGGCTACCCTTTCACCTTCAAACAGAACAGCTCTACTTTCATATCTCTTACAAATTGGGGTTCACTATAAGATTTTATTTTATGGAAAAAGAAGTTAGAGAACCACAGGTCTAGATGATTCATAGTGATTTCTCTCCCTTGAACGTTCCATAAATTACAAATACTGTTTTCTGATAAGAAAGCTGTGAGTGGTTTCCCCAAGGGAGGGCTGGGAGACAGAAGCAGCCAGACTGGGGGCTCCAGGTGAGGGCCCGGGCATTCAGCACTGTAATATTAGTACTGGTTACAATCAGATAGCACCACCCAAACTGAGGCGCCTGGACAATAAGCCAGGGGCCATGGGGAAGGGGAGGCACAAAGGCATCATTGAGAAGACCCAACTCCTGCAGCCAGCAAGTATTTCTATAGACTCCACCAGACCCTGGCCAAGCCTGAATGCCATCTTAATGGCCAGAAAGACATTTTTTTCATGCTTAACTTTTAAACTGCCAAAAATAATAAACACAGCAAGGAAAGTGCTGACACAGCTTTAACTACAGAGACAAACTGAAACTGTGTTGTTATAATAAGGTAAGCAAACTGGGTTCCAAGTTACAGCCTGGGACTCCAAACAGGCCACTCAATATTACAAAACACCTCGGGACTAAAGGGAGGATTCAGGGGGTCTGTCGGTAAAGAAAGTGGACCTATGGCAGGTATTTATGCCCCATCTGACTTGCTCTAATTTTTGTGCCTGTTACAGTATAACGCTCAAAGAAAAGATGCATTGAGAGGAACTCTGCATCTTCAGCCAGCACAGTTTCCCCACATAACAAGTGAAAACCAGGCTCCTTTCTCTCACTGTTCTATTATTATTCTTTTCCCCCCAAGGGAATTGGTAGCATACATTTCTCCAGCATGTTTTAGCCCATTTCATGTTCTGTATTTCTCCTGAACACCGACAGAGCCCAAAACTATGTTAAATAACAGCATCAACACCACACATTAGGACGTAATTGCCACAACACTAAAAAAATGACAATTAGTGGCAAAGATCATGAGTCTGCAAATGGTGAAGTTATGACTGACAGCTGACCTTCTTATCCATCAAATCACGTGAGGAACTTGGCACCCACGCAGAACGGCCAACGGGAGGAAACTGCAGATCTGGAAAAAAGGAAACACAAGAAGATTAATAGGTTTTTGTTTTATTTTTTTTAAGTTCCTCAGCACTTGATTAATCTGCAACTGCTCTTCTGTGTTTAAATAGAATCTGGTTTCAGAGCTGTCTCTGATTTTGAATAAATGCAAATAGATTTAGATGAAATCTCATTCTAAGGGGTAGAGGGCTTCAGAGAAAGAGACTTTAATACAAGGACTGTAACGGCACATTACAGACACAGGATCACTTTTGTGGATCTCAAAGACCTACTTTTCTATGGAGTGTCAGGGACAAAAGCTAGGAGTTTTGGATTCCCAGCCTGGGAAGATGACTAGGAGGCAAGCGTGAATCTTAAGCTGTCTAGATACTTGTGCTAAATAGGGTCCAACTGTCTTTCAGCAGATGGTCCCTTGGATAAGCCTTAACAAATAAAATCTGCAATGGTGCCATGGCGGGGTCATTACCCTACAGCCCTGAATGAAACGTCACGATATGCACTGGCGCATGAAGCTATGGAGTTGCCTATATTATTTTAAGCTCACTTATATTGGGATCCCTTCCTGCAGGTATAATAAGAAAGGCAGCTAAACAGACCACGGCATCTGCTCATGCAGCCGACCATGTCTCTAAGTGTCTGTCTGCACAGCAAGCAAAAATCTGATTTTCTACTAACTGTGGTCCCACCGTTTTTGTTGTGGGCAACTTAGAAATCACAGAAACATAAAGGTTAGTAGAACAAATGTCTAGGTTCCCATCACCAGACCATTTGTAACATTTTAAATAGACCATTGTTAACATTTTGTCGTATCTGCTCAATTTTGTTTGTTTTAGTTAAAAAACAGAGCATAAGTCCCTCTGCAACTTCAGCCCAAGCCCAGACCATGAATTCAGTTTATATCTTTCCCGTTCACGTCTTCTACATTTAAATACATATATATGCAGTGGCGTCACTAGGGTTGGTGTCACCCAGGGAGGTAACTCATGGTGCCACCCCCTTCATGCTAATCACCACAATATTTAGCTAAAATACCAGAAAATCTGACAAGATCAGTGACTATAAAAACACCAGCAGCAACGAAAACAACAGTGCATGCTTGTAGTGCGTGCAGATGAAACCACATGATTCGAAGCACCATTGTAATTGGATAATAATGACAGCTCTGACCTGAGCCCACTGGAAGGTTCAAAAAGTAAATTAGCATAGAGTATTAGCTTTGTAGGTATATTGGTACATGTAAGCTGGGCTTATGAAAAATTTTTTTTGTTATAACTACAGGGATATTTTTATAGAAAAAATAATACATTTCTGCTGAAACACTGCACAAAAATTTTATAGACAGTCATCTTGGGGTCACCCCCTCTGACAGTGTCACCCTGTGCGGTCCACACTTCCTGCACACCTCTAGTGACGCCACTATATATTCAGGGCAATAACGAGTGCTTATGTGTTTTTAATTTACCTAGAAGATATGAACTTAATGTATGTGTAATAACATTCTACAGTTTTGACTGAACATCATGTCTCTGAGATTTAACCCTGTTGATCTATTAGAGCTCATCCCCTTTAAATGCCACACTGAATAGATACACTCAGTCATTGTCTTTTTACCCAGCATCCAACGTTTATGGCACCATAAAAGCACTTGATATCTCTTTAAAGTGGTTATTGGTTTTGTAAGGGTGTGTATACATAAGTGTGAATGTGTGAATTTTCTTTGCTATTCTACTCTGAGCTTCTCAAGAGTGCTGCCATGTCCTTGTTTTTAGAATGGTCCTTCCACACTAGTGACTCCATGTAGCATGGACACTCAAGATGCTGAAAGTTTGTTAAAAATGGATCTGCTTATTAATTTTCTTCCCTTTTAAAACAATACTAAGCAAGCATTTGGAGTTGTATTTATCTATTTTCTATTTCCTTCAAAATTCTTCTCCACTGCTTTCGTCATAAATGCTCAAACCAAAAGTGACATCATACAGACAATCAGAAATTCTGATAGTATTAAGCTGAAGACCAAGACCCTGACGAAGCATACCCTAAAAGTATTCTCAAGTACTAGTTGACAAGATCAGAAAGAAGTTTGCTTTGTTACTGTTATTATGGCTTTATGGTGATCATGATTAAAAACATACCACTACTCCTGATACTCATATCTAAAAACAGTACCTTCTGTATAAAAACAATATCAGGCCTTGATATATTTTCTGAGGATATAATTCTGATTTAAACTTTGAAGACTATGTATGAACTTGACTCAGTGATAACAACATAAAAATTCTCAACGAATTATTAATAATACTAAGCAGTTTTACACATAACATTTATTAAGCATACTTTATGGGCTGGGTTGTGCAAATTATTTCACTTAGTTCAATCTTCACAATGATCACCTGGGCAAGTATTATTAATAACCCCATTTTCCAGATGAGGAACAAAGAGGCAAAGAAAGGTTACGTACTTTGTCCAAAATTGAACGAGAAGAGGCTAGCTAGGAATCTCGCCCAGAAAGCCTTGTTCTAAATTACTGAGAATAGGCTCAGGTTTTAATGATAAAATTGCAAAGAAGAAAACTGAAAAACAATGTCACTGAGGTTCCAAATTTTTATATAATGCAACCACACAGCATTTCTTTCATGGTGTGCCTCAAACCCAGAATGAACCAAATTTGAGTTCTCCAAGTAGACAAATCCAAAGTAATTTCCCAGTGATGAAAGACATTTAAAGCAGCAAGGTCAAGCCTTGGACTCTTCCAACTTAAACATAACCATTTTGAATTCTTCTTTTCTTTAGAAAAATAGGGAGCTGGGATTTTGCTCATGGCTCAAAGGAGACTGTCCAATTTTGTTTACACAAGATTCAAAGCAAAAGCAAGAATCACTCCCGGGACAACTTTAGCCCAGAATATGTCTTCTTTACACATTTTTAATTGCGGCACAAATATATTAACAGTGTGGTTATTTTGTACTTTCAAAAGAATCTTTTTTGTAACTGAGTTATATTTATATTTGGAATACATTTATTTCTAGGCATGAAACAGTTCATTTTGTTAAGGCATCTGACCTGAGGTGAGGTTGGCACAATTTCCCAAGACTGCTTCCAATTAATGCAAATTGAAGGTTAAAGAATAAATAAAGTCCCTTTAACTTGGTTTACTATTATGTTATTTATAAATGGCTCTTTACTTGGTCCTTTTTTTTTTTTTGACAGTAACTATGTACAGATGAAACTGTCCAGAACAAACCAGCAAATCCATAATGTGTATTTTATTGCAAAGATTTAATTTAAAAGAGTTAATCTTAATGGCAAAAAATTAATTTTATCTATCCATATTTTTTTAGTCTCTGTTCGCTCATCAGAGCTCTGGTGGTGCAGTGGTTAAGCGCGCTCAGCTGCTAACCGAAAGGTCGGTGGTTCAAACCCACCAGCTGCTCCACGGGAGACAGATGTGGCAATTAGCTTCCATAAACATTTACGGCCTTGGAAACTCTATGGGACAGTTCTACTGTGTCCTACAGGGTCACTATGAGTCAGAATCAGGTCTTTGTTTGGGCTTGGTTCTCTCACCAAATCCTAATGGAGCCTGAGATAGACGGATTTCATTGCATTAATGGCCTTCATTGTTCACCCCACTGTATCCACCATTTTGCCATGTGACTTTGCAGTTCCTCTCATTAAAGAGGTTGAATCTGTTTTCTTGTCCTTTGATTCTGGTTTTGGCCATAGGACTTGCTTTTGCCAACGGAATGTTAGCAGACTTGCTGCATGCAGAGGTTGGATAAGCTTCTTGGCATGTTTACGTGTTTTCTTTTGTTCCACTGTCATCACCATAAGAATATGCCTGGATTAGCCTGTTGGGGTTACAAACATGGAACGGAGTTGGCTCACTTCAGTTATCTTGACCAAGGGCAACCTAGACCAGCCAAGTCCCATACAAATGACAGCACCCAGCCAAGATGAGCAGTCACCTAACTGATGTACAGCTGACCACAGATGCATGAATGAGCCCAGCTGGGACTGGAGGGACCATCCAGACCACCCTCAGATGCTAATAAATGCTCATTGTTTTAAACCACTGAGTTTTGAGGTAGTTTGTTACTATCCCAGGTAACCCTAAGTAATGTTATTGTGCTCTGGATAACTGAAATAGGTCCTAGCCCTGCTTCACTCAAAAAAGAGAGGCCCATAGAGAAGATGATTTTAAAATTAGTTAAGAAAATTCAGCAACTATCCACCAAATGTCAGCTGTATCAGTCAAGGTACAACCAGGAAAATATAAACCAGTCTAAGTATTTAAACAGAGGGACTTTAATGCAGGGGATTTATTACACAGGTGAAGAAAAAGATGAGAGGCCAAACAGGGGAGAACGAGGCATCCAGGAGTTCCATAGTGGCAGGAAACCCCAAAGCTACAGGGACAAAAAAAGGAGCCTTGAGGACAAGGTTGCCCAGCAGAAGCTGAAAGCTGGGTGGGTCCTCCAGGAGGAACTGAAGCCACAGAGGAGACCTAGCTGCTCTCAGAGATACTGTCTGAGGCAGAGCAAGCTGGGAAGAAACACCCGAGCTTCTTCTTTCCTTCTGTTTTCCAATCTCCTTCCAAAACCTTCCAACAACTAAACTCAGATAGAGGCCAATTAACCCAGGAACCTGGGCAGCAATGACCCTCAGGATGCAGCCCTCAGGGCAGGTCAGGGGGAAGGCAAGGAATGGATCTGAAGGCAAACAGGCAAACTCACCAAGATGATGTGTAAAGCCCTATGCAAGGTATTGTTCAGCAGTAAGTGCTACATACATAAAAATAACTGAGAATTAGAACAGATACTGGGCTTGAAGGTTGGAAAGGGCCCAAATAGCGGGGAACGAGGGAGAGGATGTTCAGGCAGCAGCACCTGTGGGAGCAAAGGCAGAGAGGCCTGCAAGTGCAGGAAATATTGGGGAAAGCAAGCATAGGCAGTCCCCAGGTTACAAAGGTCCTATTTACGTACAATCTGTAGTTAAGAACCAACCCCC